GTGTGTAGCTGGTCACTCAGAGAGAAGAGATGCCTCAGCATGGGCCCCCTGAGACATCCCCTTCCCCTATACCTCACCACACACCTCCATAGAACATTCTCTTTCTCTTTATATTTTTATAAACACATCAGGGTGGACGTTACTTTCTGAGTTGTCCAAACAAATCTCACAGCAATTGCCAAAGGAGACTTGAACCCAGAACCTGCAATTCCTAAAGTCCTCTTGCACAGTGTTCTGGAATGGGATCCAGGCAGCAGTGCTGGAGTGCTGCCAGCCTGAGAGACAAACACTCCTTTGTCAGCTTGATTATGTCTTTTGTTTAGTGCTGGAGATAGAACCCAGGGTCTTACACATATTAACATACTCTCCCACTGAGCTACACCCCCAACCTTGTTTGTGTATTCAAAACCAGTCTGTTATGATGAGCTAAGGCACAAAGGAAATGTTTCCTTAAAAGAACTGTAATTTTTCAGCACTGTAGGGTTTGGCCTCCTGTCATCTCTTTGCCATCACCCCCTCCAATCCTCCGATCCTCACAGCTTTGGAATTGGCCATTAAGCTGGCAGACCCATTGGAGAGCCATGAGAGGCGCCAAGCAAACAAAAGGAGTCATTTATGCCCATATTTGTGATTTTTCTCCATTAGATCAGAAGCCTGTAATTTAAATATCTCCAAGTGCTCTGGGAACATTTGTGGCTTAATTATGAAATTCATTTAAAATATGCAAACAAGACTCTAAACTCAAAAACAACATTTAGTGTATCTGCAGGAGAAATATTTAATGCACTTCAATTGCTCAAAGCAGAGAGTGGAGACCTCCCAGTTTTTGGTTCTTGCCTTGTGTGTGATGGTCACTTATGCTGTGCCCTTATTTCAGCTACATCATTACCTCAGTGAAGAGTTGGTGAGCGAGCCTATGGTAACCTTAGCAAGGCACAGTGACATAAGGATTTCCAAACAAAAGTGGCTTTGGATGTAAGACCAATAGTAAAAACTCAGACACAGGCTGGCTGAGGGCTTTACTGTCATCTCCCTCCTCCATGGAAAGAACATAATATCTCCAAGAAAAGACTACTGGGCATTCCAAGTAGGCCTGGGAGCAGCTCGTGAGAAAACATTTTCTTAGTGTGCACAAGGGCCTGCATTTCATCTCCAGCACTGCAAACAACGACAAACACAAGTCAGAAAGTAAACTTTTATGAACCATGGCAGAAAACTTTGGAGGTTGTTTTGGCATCTAGTAAAGCTGGACCTATGTTTAAATGGGATAGTCATATCTCAACTACTCCTATAATGTCTACTTGACTCTGAACAAAGAGTATTTCTAGGCAGATTCCTCTATGGTGGCCCTGGTGTCTCTGAGTTTGCTCAGAATCTCAAGGGAAAATAGAGGACCTGTTTCCCAAGAATTCTAGCAAAACTCCTTGAGGTGGTCATTGCCTTGACATAAGTGGCACACATCACAGTTATGATGTTGTGACTGGCTGAGGCTGCACATACAGATTTGATGAACTGACAGGAAGGCTGGATAGGTGCACACGAAGGAATTATGGGACTCCTGTTTAGAGAAAGGGAACAGGTGTTAAGAAGGCTAAATTTACTGTTAAATTTATATTACAATATATAGTGGGTTGAGTGTGGTGGTCCCTAAGTCTTGGAGGTCACCAGTAGACCCAAGTGACTCTATGTAACCCTGCCTCAAGTCATTTCTGATTGGTAAATGAAGATGATGACAGCCAATAGCTGGGGTCAGAGAGGAGGAGGCTGAAACCAGCCAGAGAAATGATGAGATTGCTCAGGGCTGGCCAAGTGGCTGAGATGGGACTTCAAAGGTTTGTTCAGTTTTCCTAGCTAGGCATATCCTATTCTGTTAAATCTGGCTCTTATTCATCACTTTGTCTGC